CTTTGAATGTTTAACTGTGCCTATTGATGTTAAAAGCAAATCGGCAAAAGCTAAAACTACATCATATCAAAATCATCGTCCGTGTGGTTTTATGATTAATGTAGTCAATGCTATAACCGGAAGTAGTGAGCCTTACTTATACAGAGGTGAAGATTGTATGGATAAGTTTGTTGAAAAAATCAATGAAGTCAGAGAAGATATTATTAGTAGGATGAAGGAAGTAAAAGAGATAATCATGACTGAAAAGGACAAGGAAGATTTTGAAAATGCTACTACTTGCTTTATCTGTGGAAATGATTTTAAACCTGAGGACAAGAAGGTTCGAGACCATTGTCACTTTACTGGAGCTTACAGAGGATGCGCCCACGATGATTGTAATCTTGGTTTTAGTATGAGATATTATAAAATCCAAGTGTTTCTTCATAACCTTAAAAACTATGATGCCCACTTAATCATCAACAAGGCTCACGAACTGAACAAGAATTCTAAAATAGAATGTATCGCTCAGAACAGCGAAAAGTTTATAACCTTTGGTTTTAAAAATCTTTGTTTCAAGGACAGTTTCAGTTTCTTATCGTCTTCGTTGGATAAGTTGGTGAAGTTGAGTAAAGTATGAGGATGATAAAAAGCGTGAGAACTGGAAGAACAATTTCAGATACAGCGTTAGAAACCCGTATGTTAAAACCGATGAAGATTTGGATTTATTGACCGATAAGGGTATTTATCCCTATGACTACTTTGATGATTTTGAAAGATTTAAGGAAAGGGCTTTACCACCGAAAGAAGCGTTTTACAGTAAATTGAGTGAAGAACATGTAAGTGATAAAGATTATGAAAGGGCACTGAAAGTATGGAAGCACTTCGGGATTAGAACACTCGGGCAGTATCACGACTTGTATTTAAGAACTGATGTTTTACTACTGACCGATGTATTTGAAAACTTTAGAGACTTGTGTATGGAATACTACGGTTTAGACCCCGCTCATTATTATACGTTGCCAAATTTCGCGTTTGATGCGATGCTTTTAAAAACTGGTGTGGAAATAGAACAAATCAGTGATAAGGACATGTGTGAAATGATTGAGAAGGGTATGAGAGGTGGAATGTGTCAAGTCAGTCATAAATTAGCAGTGGCAAATAATAAGTATATGGTTGGAAAATATGACAATTCAAAACCGAGTAGTTACATAAATTACTTAGATGCTAATAATTTGTATGGTTTGGCAATGTCCCAGAAGTTACCGCTAAAAAATATCAAGTGGGCAAAGAAAACGCCCAGTGTTGAAAATTGGAATGAAAACGATGAGTTCGGTTATATTATGGAAGTTGATTTGGAATATCCCGAAACATTGCATGATTTCCACTCAGACTATCCACTAGCGCCTGAGATAACGAATGTAAATGTGAATATGCTTTCCGACTATCAAAAGCAAGTCTTCAAAGTATATTATGACGGTAAAAGTCCCAAGGGCGAGAAAACAAGTAAGTTAATATTAAATCTAAAGGATAAAGAAAAATATGTGGTTCATATCAAGACTTTACAGTATTATTTGAAAATGGGAATGAAAATGGGTAAAGTCCATAGGATAATAGAATTTCAACAGAGGGCATGGTTGAAACCGTGGATTGACTTCAACACTGGTAAAAGGAAAGAAGCCGAAAGCGATTTTGAGAAAGATTTATTCAAATTAATGAATAACGCGGTGTACGGAAAAACTATGGAAGACAAGCGAAACCATATGGATTTTGAATTAGTTGATAATGAGGTAAGATATGAAAAATGTGTTAATAATCCAACATTCAAAAACAGATTTATTATTAATGAAAATCTCGTAGGAGTTGAAAAAACTAAAGCGAAGCTGAAATTGGATAAACCGATATTCTTAGGAATGACAATTTTAGATTTGAGTAAATTACATATGTATGAGTTTTACTATGGTGTATTGAAAAAGAAATATAATGAACATATCAAATTGATATATACAGATACTGACAGTTATGTAATTCAAACAATGACTGATGATGTCTATAAGGATTTCAATGATATAAAGCAACACATGGATTTTAGCGACTATCCTGTTGAGCATCCATGTCATGACAAAACTAATAAGAAGGTCTTAGGAATGCACAAAGATGAAGTCAATGGAAAAATCATTACTAAATTCATCGGATTAAAACCTAAATCTTACGCCTTCACAATTCACGGTGAGGTTGATGAACATAAGAAATCAAAAGGTGTAGTGAAACACAAAGTGAAAAACGAACTGTCGTATCAGATCTATCACGAAGCATTGTTTCAAAACAAAAAGCATGAAATCACATATAACTTCATCAGAAGTAAGTCGCATCAAATATATTCAATGTCTCAAGTAAAGCAATCTCTCAGTAATTATGAAAATAAAAGGTTTTATATTGATGCTTTCACTTCATTACCATATGGACATTACGCTATTACAAAGTAATAGCCTAATGAGCTTCGCGACATTACTCCATAAAATAATTATCTAAATAGTTCTAATAATATGAAATTATTAAAATTATTTTCAGGGACAGGCTCGGTTGGTCGGGTTGCTCGGGATTTGGGTTTTAGTGTCATTTCCATAGATTTGAAAAAACATGCTGATTGAACCCTTCTCCACGTCAGTCTTCAAAGTGTCTCATACGAACCCTTCTCCACTTCAACCTTCAAAGTTTCTTGTTTGAACCCTCCCTGCAACAGTAAAACACAAAGACCCAAAACCGCAAAACCCTTCCCATCCCAGAACCTAGAAGACGACAGCAACGAAGGCGATGAGAGCGATGTCTTCTCAACCTCAGAGCGTGGCAAATGCAGGACGATTACAATAAAGGGGGGTTTGGTGGTTAAGGGGGCGTTCCCCCTCCCTTGGGGAAATATCACCCCTCATTTGGGGAAATGTTGGTCTATCTCCCCAAATTAGGGGAAAAGGTTCCCTATTTCCCCGACCTTGGGGAAATGTCACCCCGACCGGGGAAATGTCTCCCCTCTTCACCCTTCCAGAAAATCAGTGCAAATGTAGACTATTTTCACCATCCACAGCCGGTCAAGGTTTTTGCAGGACACGCTCCTTGAGACAGAACTTATTGCGAAACACAGTTCTGAAAGGAGCTATGAAAGAAGTAAGACAAACCAATTAGATTATTATCCTGAACTGAAATTATAATCATAATATAATAATAACATGTAAAATCTTATATGTTATAATTATACTGAACTTTTAACCTATAAAACCCCTTAAACTTAAATAAATAACCCCTTAAACATATAGAGACCAATGACAGACAAAAAGCAATGTTCCAAATGTAAAGTCTTTCAATTGTTAGAAAAGTTCAACGAAGGAAGAAAACAATGTAATGTATGCTTGGAGAGCAAACGACGGTATAGAGAAGCACACAAAGAACAAATACAGCAAAAGTCAAAGGAGTATTACGAAGACAACAAAGAGCAGATTGTAGAGAAGAAAAAGACATATAGAGAGAATAACAAAGACACTATACTGGAAAAGAACAAGATTTATCGTGAAAAGCATAAAGACGAAATAAAGCAAAAATCAAAAGAATATAGAGAAAATAACAAAGAAGACATAAATGAAAAACAGAAAGACTATAACCAATTGAAAGTAGAATGTCCTTTATGTAAATGTATGGTAGGAAAATACAAAATGAAAAAACACCAACAAACAAGTAAGCACCAACTAAGAGTGAAAGGTCAAGAAAACAATAACGATACTGTGAGAGATTACGTGGAAACAACAAGTGACTTTGAACAAGAATAGGAATAAACAAATGAACCACCAACACCCCAGAACATAATAACTACTAAAAGGGCTAACTCTTTCAAATGAACAAAACGTTACTCCCCAGAAAATCCACCCCTAACACCCTACAACAAAATATAGGAAGAAATCAAACAAGGGTGTTAAAACGTTGGATAACAACATTTGACCCAATAACCCCAACACTCCTCCCTCTTCCCCCCAGGCCCCCTACTTTCTCCATTTTTTCCCCCACCCCCCCCACCCCCCCCCACCGCACCAAAAAAGACAATAAAGCGCAAAAACCACGGAAAGATGGAGTTCAAACGCAAACACCAAAAAATGGAGTTCGTCCCACGGGCGGCTGTGGGCGGTGGTCCAACTACACCAGCGCACTTGATCACAGGAGCTCTTGCAAACAGGACGCAAACGGTAAAGTACCAAAAACAACTCAAGACAACCAAGCGAAAACATATTTCCCCTCAAGTCAGGACAGCTGACAGAGTCATATTTTTGTTGGTTTTCTCAAGGTTTTTCACACTTTTCCAAAGAAATGCAAAGAACACCTTGAGAAAACTACACACACACACCAGAAAACAGAAGACTACCCCCCCCCCCCCAAGCTAGGACATGTGACATAGTCTTGTTTGTTTTGATCTTCTGGAGTTTTTTTGTGTGGACTACCCCCCTGGGGTGTTGTATCCCAACTATCAAAGGCGCTTCCCCCTCTTTAGGCTCGTTTCAAGTGGCCTTTGATTCTAAATGGAGTCGGGATAGAAATACGAAGCGAAGTGGGGCCCACAGCCTTGCGTGACCCTAGAAAGAGGTTTGGAATTCTCTTTGGTCTTCGCCATTCGTCAGGAACCCACCAAATCCCAACAACCTGGCTCAAGCGAGCTGTGTAAAACCAGAGGTATTTGGCCATGGGTAGGTTGTGATTTTGCTTCCCTTGAAACCAAGATGAAAACGGTACCACACACCCAGGCACCCGGTTTCGGCGAGATGGACTCATGGTCTTGTGACCAAATGCCCCGTTTTGTACCCTTGGGTTTCATGGCTCCATACAAAAGGTCTTCCCTAGACAAACATGGAACCCAAAAAAGATGGTCCATTTCTTAAAGGAGCTTCATCTGAAAACGGCTAAGCTTTTTGGGTTCCTTCTTTTCCAACCGGGGTCGTTGGACGACTTGTTGCTCATTTCTTTGGGCCGGAAGAATCGAACGCAAGGTGAAGATCATCGATTTTGGGGGTCTCCAGAATTTCGGGAAGCTCAGCCACGGGTGCGCCTACACCCCGGCCTACTCCCCGCCGGAGGTGCGGAATGGTCAGGTGAAAGGCGCCCGAATGCCATGAGGGACATTTTGGGTTCGGTTCCTACCCGGTTTCATTGGGCTGCATCAACCTTCGCAACAGTCAATGGGTGTTGGGCGCTGCTCAGCTTAGGGCATGCGCCACAAAACCGGTGCCGTTATTCTTCTCTGGCTCGGAGGCGGTTTCTTCCAAGTCCAACAAAAACAAACCGCCCTTTCTTGGGGTCTTTAACAAAAACAGGCTACGTGAGACATATATGTATATCACAGGATATCATGTTGACCCCGGAATTTTAGAACCCCAGTTGATAAAATAGGGGGTGCTTTTCACTTTTGGAGCGCCCCACCCCATATCAATAAATTGCTCGGTTGATTCAGCTGGGGTTAATGACGCGGAATCTGAAGGTGTTTCACGTGCAGAGTTCGGCCACAGGCCAAGTTCATGGCTGGTGATGTTTCAAATGGAAAAACAAGTTGTTTTCTCAAATCGAGGTCCGCTTGGGGATGGTTTCACCGAAAGGACCATAGGAAACAAACGACCTAAGCTCACTCCCTGACTTCCGGTCCTTAGTCACTTGGGTCTGGACCATTTTTAGCAACAAACATCTTTGTTTTTTTTTGGGGGGCCACTCACGGAAGTGAGTAAAGGGACACCGGAAACGTTTTCTCCAGCTCGTCAGGTGAAGTCTGGATGCTACGACTTGCGCGGCCCGGTCTACGCCTACGACGGCTACGCCACGGGGCTTATGCTCATGGAGATCTGGGGAAAAGAAGCATGGGGTTGGGCCGTTTCTGGGGTCTCCGAAAGTTTGTCAGGTAGACTACATGTGGGGGGTTGTCAAACCCAACGAAGACATACCCATGTACAGCTGGTGTTGGTCAATACCGGCGTCTCTGTTTCGAGTTATACTTTTTGAGTTGTAGTGAAACCAAAGCGAAGACCATCCACGTTATGGAGGTGTACCGTTTTAGGATGACTAAAACCAAAGAGGCCGGTTCCATATCCCGTTTCGGGAGATTCCATGGAGGCTTTAAACTTCTTGGTGTCAGATCGGTGTCAAGTCTGAAGCGATGCTTGAAAAGCAATCCTTACCTGCAATTCTCCTTTTAGGGACTTCCGGTTGCTTCTCCTTTTGGCTCTCTGTCTTTGATCAAAGACAGATTGATTTGTGTACGTCGCTTTGAGGGCCTCCCCCCAAAATGGTGGTTTTCCTTTTGCTTGTCCATTAAAGCCAACCAAAAAGAGATCTCCCTGAAAATTACACGCAACATTTGTTGCTGTCCTATGCAATTCGTGTTTGCATCGCTTTTATGAAGCTCTTTTTCCCACATTCATTTGTGCTCTTTGAGCTTCAATGTAACATTGGTTCAGTGCTGTCCTTCTGTGGACCTTTGATTTCCCACTTGATGTTTTTCTTTGCTGGTTTCGGCGGCAGCTTTTTCGCCAACAGCCTGAAGCTATGGGGTCTCTGCCCGAATTGGGGCTCCGGACGGATTCCGGGCTTGGATATTTTCGTTTGCTTTGTTCTGAGTGCTGGGTAGCCAAGTTTACCAGAGGCACGCCAGGCAGGGAAGGCGTAATTCTCGAAAAATCGCGATTTTGTGCTTTAAGGCACCTGTAGCCTTGTTGGGGAACTAGGGAACCGCTGCCAGGGGTCCTACAGCCTTAAATCACTTGGTGGGACCTCCAAGAGTCGATTTCAAATCATAAGCCATGCTGTGACCCCTGCTTTTTGCCTTGCAAATGAGAATCGACTTCGGATGAATCCCCCGCCATTGGGTTTTGTTTGCGTCTCCACCTGCGTTTGTAAAGGTATCATCTAAGTTTTGTGGTGGACGTGGTTTCTAGTTGGAAAATGTGGGTAAATGTATCAAAGCAGTTTGCAAATCAAGCAAATATCATGTTTACGTCAGGGGATCCCTAGTTTCACACATACCCTAATGTTGTCTCCAATTCTCCCCAGTTTCCGCTGCGAGGAGTTCATGTGCGGTAGTTTGACGGGCATTCGCCGGGGCAGCTCCCTGGCGCGCGGTCAGCGCCGGCTTGCGGGCCTTTTTGGGCCGATCGCATGCCGGAAAATTGACAACAGTTTGCCTTCCCAGGCCTTGGGCCGCCGTGCTTGATCTCGTTTTGCCTGTTTTAGCCAAAGACAGCTGCAGATTGCTTTGCTGTAGGTGTATGCTTTGGGGCTCAATTTCACCCCTTGGTTTGCCGGCAGCAAAAATAGGTCGGTCGACAAATACCGCGCAACCTGTGAGTTCCGTTCCCCTTGCTTTGAGGTGCGCTTCCCTTGTCCTGCTTTTCCATTTTGGTTCTTCCCTGCAACAAAGGTGGCGCAAATTGTGTCGTTGTCCTGTTTGTTGTTTCAAGGTGGCCCCAATTTGTTGTTGGTGTCCTTTTTTTCCTCCCAATCCCTTGTTCCTTTTCCAGTATTTCGTTTGACGAAGGCGACCAAGTCCTGCGCGCTTCAAAAGGTCTTTGCTTCCATGAGGAAGCCACTGGGGTAAGGGGACAGCTTTTTCAGCTACCGACCACTTCAACCAAAAGCTACCCTTGCGGTCATTGAGATCTCATCCTGTTGCTAGTTTCCAGTGATTATGATTTTGTGGAGTTTGAGGCCAGTTTCCACTGAGAGAAAGGCAAGGACTGATTTGATGTTGACATCATGGCGCTTGTGCTTCCAGGGTTTTGCCTTGTACCTGCAAAGAATGGGACTTACTTGGGTCCCCGACGAAATAACCCCGAACCAAACTATCCCTTGCAATCTGGGGATAGGCCCAACCCCTCCTGTTGATTCCCAAGAGGGACACAACATGAACCAACAAAGGCGCTCCGAAACCGCTTCAGTCCCTCACATACCCCACCCCACCACAGCCCACCCCACCCCGACCAACCAAAACCAGGCCTCGTCATTCGAGGTTCCAACCCCTGCTCCTACAGCATTCTATACGGATCCGAAGATGTGAACGCGCGCTATGTGGCCAAGATGCTCACGCAGGACTTCCTTTCTCCCTCAAGCAAAACACTGGATGATCTCAGCCGTTGTTTCTGTTTTTCCCCAAACAGTTTACTGTTGCGGTTCTTACTCCTCCAAAAAAGGACGGGCCGCATGCTTGCCAGTGTACACGCATCTACTTGTCTCCCAGTATGTGCATTCATTTCTAGCCCAGTGCTTTGCCTGTGCCCGGACGCTGACTGGGCCAAGAACAGCGCTGCATTTGGGGAGGCTGGCCTCCACAGCAACAGCCAAAGTCCCCCAGGGGCGCCCCTTGAAGCATGGCTTCCGGAGGGTGACCAGAGCGACAGCAGAATCTCTGGCTCAATCCAGACATGTTTGCTGGGAACCAATCCGGCACCGCAAGCTTTGCAAAGTATGTCGTTGCATGCTGAGGTTCAAAACGGCAGACTGGGAAATCACAGCCTCTCTTCTTGCCTTTCTTTAGGCATCTCTCTCGACACTTTTCTCGACACTACAGCCTGGCTGGCAACAGCAATGTGCAAGTTGTGGCTTTCTGCGCTTCAACAAGAATGTGACAAATGATGCACTCATGAACCTGGCACGCATTGCGTTGCTGCACGTGTGTTGCTGGCGTGCTTCGCGATTGGCTGCGGGTGCGTTGCCAGCGCTAAGGTTGCGGGGCGTTTGTGGGTGTGCGTGTTTTTCTTGCTTGCTTGCTTGCCTTGCCTTGCCTTGCCTTGCCTTGCCTTGCCTTGCCTTGCCTTGCCTTGCCTTGCCTTGCCTTGCCTTGCCTTGCCTTGCCTTGCCTTTGCCTTTGCCTTTGCCTTTGCCTTTGCCTTGCTTGCTTTGCTTTTCTTTTCTTTGCTTTGCTTTGCTTGCTATTGCTTGTGTGTTTTCGCTTGAGTTTGCATTCGTGTTCATCTTCGTGTTCGTGGTCGCGTGGGTGTGGGTGTGGGTGTGGGTCTGACCATCCACTCGGAAATCTGCTCCGAGCCAAATTGTGTGTGGTGTTTGACGTTGTTGCTTCAACAAGACCAGTGGCTCCTGGTGTGAAGTGTTGATGCTGTCTAATTCGTCACCTGCTTTTAACTACTTGAACCAAACCCGCTCGAACCAACTCACTCAAACTGCCTTTCCCTCTGATGTCTCCCTGGTGGAGTTTAGGTGTGTGTGTGTGTGCTCGTGTGTGGTGTGTGCTCATGTGCTCATGTGCTCATGTGCTCATGTGCTCATGTGCTCATGTGCTCATGTGCTCATGTGCTCATGTGCTCATGTGCTCATGTGCTCATGTGCTCATGTGCTCATGTGCTCATGTGTGTGTGTGTGTGCGTCTTTGTGTGCTGGTGTGTGTGTGTGTGCGTGAGCGGGTGTGTGTGTGTGTGTGTGTGTGTGTGCGTGAGCGGGTGTGTGTGTGTGTGTACGGGTGTGGGTGTGTGGGTGTGCGGGTGTTTGTGGGTGTGTGGGTGTGCGGGTGGATGGTGGTTGGTGTGGGTGTGGGTGTGTGCTTGTGCGTGTGTGTGTGTGTGTGTGTGTGCGTGCGTGTGTGCGTGCGTGCGTGCGTGCGTGCGTGCGTGCGTGCGTGCGTGGGTGGGTGGGTGTGCGTGTGTGCGTGTGTGCGTGTGTGCGTGTGTGCGTGTGTGCGGGTGTGCGCGTGTGCGCGTGCGTGCGTGCGTGCGTGCGTGCGTGCGTGCGTGCGTGCGTGCGTGCGTGCGTGCGTGCGTGCGTGCGTGCGTGCGTGCGTGCGTGCGTGCGTGCGTGCGTGCGTGTGCGTGCGTGTGTGTGTGGTGCGTGCGTGCGTGCGTGCGTGCGTGCGTGCGTGCGTGCGTGCGTGCGTGCGTGCGTGCGTGCGTGCGTGCGTGCGTGCGTGCGTGCGTGCGTGCGTGCGTGCGTGCGTGCGTGCGTGCGTGCGTGCGTGCGTGCGTGCGAGCGTGCGTGCGTGCGTGCGAGCGTGCGTGCGTGCGTGCGTGCGTGCGTGCGTGCGTGCGTGCGTGCGTGCGTGCGTGCGTGCGTGCGTGTGTGTGTGTGTGTGTGTGTGTGTGTGTGTGTGTGTGCGTCTTTGTGTGCTCGTGTGTGTGTGTGTGCGTGAGCGGGTGTGTGTGTGTGTGTGTGTGCGTGAGCGGGTGTGTGTGTGTGTGTGTGTACGGGTGTTTGTGGGTGTCTGGGTGTGCGGGTGTTTGTGGGTGTGTGGGTGTGCGGGTGGATGGTGGTTGGTGTGGGCGTGGGTGTGTGCTTGTGCGTGTGTGTGTGTGTGCGGAGTGGCAGAATACCCTGTCACCACAATTAGTAGCAGGGGGCCAGCGGCCATGAAGCAAACGCTGGCCAACGAAGCTATGCTTGATGGTGGATGCACGGATTGATCACCCGTGTGTACCTGCTTTTGTGAAGTGATGTTGATGAAAGTCCAGTTGGCCGCTTCTTTTGCCGCTGTGTGTGCTTCATGTTGAACCTTGTAACGTTTTCGACACTAGAGTGAAGCCAAGTGACCTGCCAGCCGAACCTTGTCCGACTTGAGACTTGTCAGTTGTACTCGAGCCTCATCAGTTGTACTCAAGATTAGCACCCTCCATCTGGAGTTTAAGTGTGTACACCCCATTCGTGGGGAATCCTCGGGTGTACCCATTCTGTCGGAAAATTTGACCTCAACGTGCTTATCATAGAACAGCGGAATTTCTGATTTAACCAGGAACGAGGTTTCACTAAAGGGAAGACAGCCGTCAGATCATAGCTAAGTCTCACAATTGCTGCTGGTGGCTGCATGACCGCGTGTTGATCTGCGCTTGGCTTGAACTTGCGTTGACTTGCATCTTGTCGGATTCGATTCTCTCAAGATTGAGGTGTCGCAGTTTTGAGTTACCTTGGGGGACAGGATCTACAACTACCGCACATGGCAACGCAGGTGGACTCCTGACATATCTTTTCCGTGTCGCTGTTCAGACATTGATGACCACCTCCTACATCGTGCGCATGAACATGTAGTAATTCCCTAACCAATTTATGGGTACTAGATTCATGGGGTCTAGATTTGGGGGGTTTTTGGCTATCTCGAATTATCTCGAATTATCTCGAATTATCTCGAAGATGTAGGTCAGGTTGAAAGCAACTTGCATGTTTGGGATTTGTTTCTGCATTTTTTGTCATTTGTATGATGTGTGTCTTCATGAATGCCGTGCAATTTTGTTGATTTTGCATTTGCATTTTGTAAATATTTGTTCTAATGATGCTGACGCATGATGGTCGGTCATTGTGTTTTTAACTGATCTTAAACCTGATTGCATCGGCTCGTAGCAAGGGCGCGGTGATGATGTCAAACGGTGTGTTTGTCGCGTTGCCTTCAGCTTCACCAATTTCAATCAATGATGTCCCGAATATATCATCAACCGAAATCCCTTCTGATCCAACGCATGGTGGAAGATGCGTATTACTACAGAAGTGACTGGACAGACATGGACCTGCATTTGGAAAAGGAGTGGGCAAGATTTGCAGAGGACGGGCTGGGCTATGACCAGGTGACCAGGTGGCCACTGGATGCAAGTGTGATTTACGAAAGCGAGAGTGACAGTGACCACCATGATCACTCCTGTCCAAATTCGAACGCTCTCAAAATCATGATTGGAAGCTTGGCTGTCGGGCTGCGGGTCCATGAGTTGGGTGAAATAAGTCAGGTCGGGAAACCTGTGCAGCCGGATTTGGTCGTTGCTTTGAATGCAGCTGACTGGCAGTACGAGCATGGCATGGAACGTGTGGAAAACACAGCAGCAGTAGATCGCCTAGCTTATGGCCTGTGGGATAAAACCCATCTACAGGGTGAGGAGTGGAACCTCTTCAAGAACGACTTCAATCGGACTTGGCAGCACATGTATAATGACATCAAAACTACACGGGCTTGGACTGAAGGGCGTTGTCGCAGCATCTTGTTTCATTGCCATGGTGGAGCGCATCGGAGCACATCTGCAGCTGTGGCGTTCCTATTGATGCACCATCGATGTAGCCTTGAAACTGCAGTCCAATGCATTTTGAGAAAGAGAAAGTCGCTGCGAATGTGGTGCAACAGGGAGTACATCATTGAAGCTCTTGTGGCACTGGAACATTCGATCTTGTCAGAGACCTCTGAGACTCTGAGCCAGGTGTGAGTTTTGAGCTCCAACTTAGTTTCACCTGTGTGTGACAGGCTTTGCTACGAAATGAGCAACGACATGTGACATGTGTGTGTGTGTCACAACCCACGATCGTCCGTTCACACTTTTCATTTTTTGCATTGCCAAAAGTAATTAATTATTTGTCCCACTCCCTTCACTCAGAAAGTTGAATGACTGAGAGGCCTGGCTGGCGCGTTGATGCGACTTTGACTTTGATTCATGGACCTGTTACTGAGCTACTGACTCCAGGACGTGTTTGCAATTTAATTGTGCTACGGAAATTGTGTGTGACATTGTCGAGTCAACAAATGCATTGCTGCAATTCAATAGTTGGATCTGAGGGTGACTGAACCCTGCCCATGCATAGTAGTGTTGAGGCCGCCTCGCTTCCAAGATGAAGCGCCCTGCTGCCAAAGCGATAATGAAGCGCCCTGCTGCCAAAGCGATGAAGAGTCCTGCTGCTGCAAGAATCGAGAAACGTCCGGCCATGCAGGTGGATGATGACGAGGCTGAGGACCTGGTCTCTTCGTCTGATGCTTTATGGCCAGACTCAGAATGAGAACGACTTCCGCTTCAACAAATGGCATTCGTTGGCGCCAAAGGGTAAACGGATTTTGATCCTGGCAATCTTCAAAGTATTTGGCGCTGATGATAAGGATATTGAGGAAATGACGCATTTCAGCATGAGCCTGAAGGACTTGCAGATTCAGTGGAAGGACATTACGGACGAGTTGAAACGGAATTTCAGTGATAGTCGGATCCGCGGATATATCTCGGCGGTGGTTAGGTACCTTACGACTCCAGGTTCTTCAACTCATGTTGAATGGCTGTGCTTGGCTATCAAGGTTGCCAGTGCTGTCAGGGGAGTCACGGATCGTCTGATTGATTCAGAAGCCGAAGCAAG